GGCCCACCAGGATGAACAATAACATTATTACCCGCCACAAATTCGACGCGCCGGGAGGGTCATTCGCGAAGCCCGATCTGTCTGTAAATCCCGTTTTTCGACAGAACGCTTTTGTGACTGCACGAGCTCGTCAAAAGCCGACATTCCCAACGCGCTTGGTCCTTCTTTAAGTGCGATTACTGAATGCAAATGCGGCGCAGGAGGCACTCGGGAGCCACATGCCACTCCCGTTGATTATCTCTATTATCTTCTTCTTTGTCCCCGACGATACGTGAGGTAGCCAAGCGCTATCAAATTCCACCACAGCGGTGCCGAATCGACGATCGAACGCCGCCACCAGTAGGTAAGTTCCACTCACCTTTTACGTTCCGAACAAGCGTCCCACGGACATCGATGTGGCGAGACGGGGCCCGCTAGCTTGCATGAATGCGCTGTGGACACTGTGGCCTTCACTTCACTGCCGACGCTCGTTCCCAAGCATTGAATATCACAACCAACTCCACTTAGCAATACCGCGGCACATAACACGCCAACGTATAAAACTAGAAAGACCGCTGGAACCGACGCGACCGCTCCGAAAAGCGCCCAACAAACACTTGGAGGAAGCCCGGGAAGCCTCTGGGAGGAACCAAAAGTAAAAACAAAACAAAAATATACGTACGCGCACAAAAAATAAAATTAACAAACAAACAAAACAAAAACTTACGTCACTTCCGGTTTGTGTTGTTTTGCTTGTTTTTGCTTTTTCTGTCAGCCAATAGGCGTTGCAACCTTACTGCGGCGAAACGCTCGTGTTTCGCCAACGTCCTGCGACATGGCGCAATTGCTTTTGGTGCATATCTGTCTCCGAGATATGTTTCTTTCCGCGGCATTTGTCTCGACGGTCCTTTCTAAGTGCGTCCCCGAGCATTCCGGTGCTTCGATAGCCGGCAATGCCCCGGTCGTCGCCGGGGGCGATGCGTGTTATTGAGGTCGGCTACACGGTTATGCGTGTATGACCGAACCAAAACACGTTTTTTACAACCTCGCATGATTTCTGAAAGAATTATCCGTTACTCATCGCGTAAATTTATGGTAATTTGTGTAAATAGCGTGTTTTTCACCCCAAATATTCGCCAAATACACGGGACTTGCTAACAGTGTAGGAAAGTTTCTTTCTACTGATGCCGTTTACTCACCTGACTAAAGATATCACCTATAGCCCAGGAATTCTTAATCAACACTTACATTTTTCCAGGAGTTATCTGAGAGTAAAACAAGACAAAAAAGCACGCCTCGTTCCTGTCTCTTCTTTTAAAAAGTTAGACGTATCTAAATCGGATCTGAAAAAAGAAAAGCTTCTTTCTTTTTACTTCTTTTTTTTTGCGCGAATACTGTTTAAGTGACAATAAAGATTTCATATTGGAATTTGATTTCATAGCGGTAACCTAATCTTTTATATATTTCTAAAAAGAGAAAATAGTTCTACAGAGAGATCGCGCAAGTGGACATAGGCCGTGAATGTTGGGATTGATAGCCCCTCAAAAAAATTATGTTTTATTTTCGAAACCCAAAAAGTCGGGGGAGTTATATTTTCGAGCTAAACGTAGTTCATTATTCAAAACAGATCCCTCGCGTGCATGTGTTTATTCAGCTCTCAAAAATGAAAATTTGATGTTCGGGAGACTAGATATTGCCCCGGCCGTGATACCTTGGAACAGATTGCGAAGTCCGCCTCCGGTAAACTTTAATGTGAATGATATTTACACCTGTATTTCAATTCACATTGTCCCATTGCAGCCAACGCTACTATCCGATGTGGCAATCAGCACCCTGAAGCGCATCACTATAACATCTCTAGTCTCTGCGTTTAAAAAAGAAGCTCAGTCTCACGGCGAATTTTTTATGCGTAATTGTTTTTGCCGGTAAAAGCGCAAAGACGACCATCGCCGCGACGATACACTTCTGGTGCTACTTAATAGGCTTGGGCGTATCAGAGCGTTGAGCGTTGTTTGACGTAATAAGGAACAGAGAATAACTTTAATGCCAGTGGACGCCTAGCTATAGGTGTCATGCTTTTGCTGATCGTCAACTTAAAAAAACGAATTAAATAAACGTTCTTGTTTGTGTCCGATAGTGTATTTTCTTTATTTAGTCTCATGTCACCCTCTTCCTACACGTAATGGTTACTTCACTCCTCCTTTAAATCTCCGAGTACCAATACAATTTTTTCTAAAATTTATTTTAGAAAGACATTTACGCCATAGAGTAATATTTTAATCCTGACCACGCGTGTTTTAAGCACAGACATGACAGAATGACAAACAATGTACGCTCGCACGAGAACGAAAATGAAAAGAAAACAATGCCCTTGCCATGACCGTTCGGTGAATCTTGCCTCACGGCTGCAACAAAATGCGAAATACAATGCGGCGCTCCGTTTTTTGACGTGTTTGTCGACGTAATTCTTGACGTGTATCTTGACGTGCGAACGCCAGCAACAATGCGTTCTTCCAAGAATGGAATGCGCAATGTCATAGGAGCGACGGAGCGAATTCTGAAAACCTCAAACAAAGTACATGTAGTATTTATTTTGTAATTTCTACGCGATAGCTGTTGGACAGATCTTTTTTTGAAATTTTGATGATGATAATGATCGAGGGTTTTGTGGCGCAAAAACCAACTTAGGCCAAAGTGCGCAGCACTACGTAGTATAATATATTATTTCAGTATGTCCTGACCTGGCAGATATGTGTGGTAATAGATCCGGTGTAAATGGCCAGTGCTAGCAATAAAACTAAGCACACGATCAATTCAGACGAGAGGGTTGTTTTCCAGTAAAAGAATAGGGTAAACGAGTATACGAGATAAGAACGGCAGGAAAATAATACCGTCGTTTTTACTCAAGACCAGAGCAAGCCCCTAATTTCTGTAGGATGGACACAAATCGTCCGCAGTCTGCACAGCGTGCTGGTTGTTCCCACCAGAGGAGGCGTTGGTGGGCGATATGCGAACAGCCTATGCGAAGACAACATATTAAGACCTTGTGGAACCATCTCCCGAATGTGGTACTCTCCCAGAATTTAGAAAAGGGCTTCGGGAAGTGAACATTACTATAAAATACTCTGTCCCATTTTCTCAGCCATCCTTTCGAAAATTGAAGGCCTCAAGACTCGTTTGATGTCCTGGTAAGCTATCGAGCAGCTAATAGACCGATTTCACCAGGCGTTCGGCGCAAGCGTGTCGCCGCCATACCTTTCGTTCACAGGAGGCAAACGGCAGTACACGAGAGTGCTCATGCTGTCTTGTGCTCCACACGCGGAGAGCTCCAGCGAAATTCTCCCACGTGCAGAAAGACTAAAGTTCCCTCGATGCATAGCGGCAGCGGTGGCGTAGATAAACTGGCTTGTGAGATAGGTCTATTGCTGAAGATTCCTGGAGGATAAGACGAGCCTTGTTGCCTAATATACTCACGTGGCCTGGAACCCAACAAAATGCAATGTGGCGTCCGTTCTCCAATGTTCTATTATTCTTGACACGCACAAGCGCTATGAGCGTATTTTTGGTGTCTTTCAGGGAGATAATTGCAGTATTATACTCTGCAAGACTACAAATATATTCTACCTTTTCTTTCTCTTCAGTCTAATGCAATCCTCTGCTAACGATACTGTATACAACTCTCCAGTAATGATACTGGCAATTAAATTAATGCGTTCACTATGGAACATTTTTGGGATAGTATGACGCGTCAATGGCAACACGCTGCTGGATTGGCGTTTGAAAAGGCGGAAAAAACTTGGATGTATTATGGAAAAATATATTGGACGATGAAGGTTAGCTAAAACCAATAGAAACTTTCTCGGAGTCCATGAAACATCCGGTAAATTATAGATGCTTAGCACCCCTAATATAAAACTGGAAATTATCAGCATGCTTCACCTTTAGTTTTTTCAAATTCTTGAACGATGACCATAGGAGTGTCAGTGTACTAACTACATTTCGTAAGATATCTGTCGCAACAGACTGATTTTCTCTTCCAGCGAACAAAACAGTGAACTGGCTGAAGTAGTGTCAATTCTTACAAATTTGGTGCCTTTACGCATAAGGTCAAGTGTTTCGATGAGGTTTTGGTTGATTTTACCCGATTTCAAGTTTTATCAATATCAGTTCGCTTTGTTTTGGGTTCCTCGTCGTTTGGTTTTTGCGTCCTTCCTTTTCTAGAGTTCCGGGTTTCGCCAGAAAAGTGTACGTTTTCAGTGATCCTTGAGACACCTTTCTCTTTAGTTGTTTTGGAGGCACTGCCGGTGTAAACTGTGTTGAGAAATGTTTATCTTTTTTGTGCGTTGTATAATAGAGGTCACTGCTTCTCAGTTCTGTTGTAAAGGTTGCTTTGCTGTACTGCTTTTGGCTCCAGATTCCACATTTCCGTCTCTCTCGCCTTCTCTCGTCTCTAGCGATTTGTGTAGGAGTTGATGCCTATATAACCCCTTTCGTTGTCAAATAAATTTCAGCTGTGTTGAAGACCTTGTGTTTGTCCGTCCCATCTCGTCCCAGGCTCGGGGTTTTTGGTCAAATAATTAAATCATAAGCTTGTTTGAGCTCACACATCTTAAAGAGCGCATTATATGGCTCCGAGTTAGTACCCTACATTGGAATAGAGCTACTTCATGTGCGAAATTTAAACTGCTAGAAATATGCACTATAATTATTAGAGCTGAATTCTCCGTGGAAACGCTGAACGAGAACATTGGAAACATCTTTGACAGACCCCAAGGCAAGTTTTATACAGGAATGGTAAAACATTGGTAGTTGCCTGTGATGTTTGCATAGGCAATCCCAAGCCTCTTTAACCGTACGAAAAAATTACTTACAAAGGAAAGATATCAAATCCAAAATGTCTTCTTTGCCAGCTTTCTTCTCTAGGGATCTTGCGCTTTGCGCTTCTTAAAGTTAATCTTGGTGTTCACAGTTGTCTACCACCGGGAAGCTTTCCAGCCTCGATTTTTCTTCTTAGTGGTGGTTGAACAGCCTTCGTGCCACCAGGGCTCGCGTTTCTTTGGTAAGTTACCAGAAGTATGGGGGATAGACTGCACGGCGGCATTAATTATCTGGTGAGTATCACACGTCGTAGCCTCCTCAGGGGACATGATGGCAGATAGTGAAGCCCTGAATGTAGCAACTTGGCTAAAACGTTCCCAGACCCCTTTGTCTAGTTTCGAAGTATGCATACGTTTCTGAACTTAGGGGAGGTCAACAAATCTTTCTAAGATATCTGGGAAGTTGTCACACTCAAATGGATTATCTGGAACCTTCTAATAAAAACAAAGAAGCCATGATGGTGATGAAATGTAAATATTAATGCAGGTGAAAGAGCTGTGTGCAGCACTAAGACATTTCGGGGATTCGTTATTTAATGAAAAATTTCAAAAAAGTAGCGATCGCTCAATAACCCCTCTACGGGAATCAATTCGTGCATTGTCCCACATGGTGTAATCAGCACTAGATTTACCTAATTTTAATAGTAGCTGTCAAAGTTGAGTTAAAATGTTCTGTATGTCATGCACGTGTTTGGGAATGTGTGCTGGGAGACGCAAAAAAAAAAAAAAAAGAAAATCATATTGAGACGGTCAGTATGAATTTTTGTGTAGCCACAGCCTCGAAAGGAATGTCAAGAGGGACTCCGGTACACCCCAGTCCAACCTGCACTACAATTACAACACCGCCAGGTGAACGTAAAGATGGGCGTCCCGTGCGGGGCCGCCCATCTATAATTGCTTGATAGTATAATTGCTTCGGTGTGACTCCTTTTTAGAGGGGGATTAGGTATTTTGGTTTGCTTGGGACTTCAGTGGCTCTGGTGCGCCACCCACCATTCCGCTCCACAAAGGAAGAGGTAACACCTCATAACAAAAAAGCCTTTACTAACAATTCTACTCTACCAGCGCTTGCCCAAACACGATGCCCAAGTGTGGTTCTAAATAAGGAAATTCATACCCACCCAAGTTTGGTCCTGGCCCCAAAGGAAGGTACAAATTGAAAGAAGTGAATAGGAGGAAATTGAAAGACAACAAGGGATATCAGAAGAAAAGCGACTGACTGGATCATCCTGGTCGGGCCTTACCAGAACACCAGTCCGCAAGAAGCGGAGGCCAAGGTGGTGTACTGCGTTGCCGGTTGGGGGGGGGGGGGGGGGGGGGGACGAAGGGTTCAAAGCTTCCTTTTGCCCAGCACAACCATCATGAAGTCATTTTCCCTGTCATGGGCAGGCCACGCAGAGCCAGACAAGGGTGGGTGAACATACAGTCGCTGAATGTTCCCCGAGTACCGAAGCTCCCAAGCTTCACTTCTGGCGCTTGTCCTTGTCCTACCTGTGTCTTTCGTCGGCCTCTTTTAGTTCGCGCCTTTTAACATTTGATATTTGTTTCAGAACCGAGTCTCGACGCAGCCTTCGCGCTCCAACCCATCGCCAATTAGGCGCTGCCATGTGCGGTCGAAGCGTACAGCGTAGCCGTTCGTTCTCGTGCGATCTTTTCAATCGACTTTCCTCGAGTGTAGCGAGACTTTATTTTCTTTCTTTTATTAAGTTATTTCCTTCAAGTCTTGCGCGTGTTGCTCCTTGCTGTCTCGTCTCGTCTCTCTCGTTCTCTCTCTTTATCTCTCCCCTTAAAACACATCGAAGTCAAATCTTAGGCTTAGCGCCTGACGCGTAGAATTTGAAACACAGCACCAGTGCAACCGCAGCGAGCAAACGAGCCGGCAATCTTCTTTGGCAGACCAGGTTAACGGCTACATGTTATAAAGCAGAAAAACCAGAGGAAATCAATGCACCTTCCGTTCGGTTCTAACTCATCGATGCTCAGAGTTCACACTCGTGCTTACCTGTGGTAACACGAAATGTTTACATACGCTTTTTGTTATTTTGGGCAAATCCTCATAATCCCCGACTGATAACTTCCCCCACGGGCTAAACCAGCTAGTCAGAGCTGGATTCTGCAGAATTGACTTCCTGTAAGCGGACTGAATGCAACTGGGTACTCTGGGAACATTCAGTGACTATAGGTGAACCCACGATGCTCGGGGTCCGTAGTGACGACACTCACCAAACACTCACTAAAAAAGGTGCCCCCTGCTGGTTATGATTTTATTTACTTTAATCACGTTGACAAGTTACTGAGAAATTGAACTGTACAAGTACATATCTACAATATTTTTTCTATATTTACATAATTTTGAAGTTGCAAAAAACAGACTATCTTTGACACTTGCGTTTGGAGACAACTTACGAAGTTCTCTTAAAGAGTAACTGCAAAAAAAAAAATATTGTTTTCTTTAACAGCCTACTTGGCTGTTAGACTGGTGGCCGCTGAGAAAACCTGTTTTCTCTACTGATGTCTAACCCCTGGTTAGATCAGTTGGTAGAACGCTCCACTGGATGTGGAGAGGTCCCGGGTTCGAGACCCGGACCAGGCAGGCTTTTTTTGGACGCACACCAGTCACCTAGCTGTGTTTAAAGATTTGTGTTTGTTCTTTGTCCCTCTTGTTCCCCTTCTCCTGGGATTATTTTCGTCATTCTTGTCTAGCTCGTTTGCACCTTTGCATTTAATTGCATTATAAGCACAAAGTAATGGTTCCCGATAAGCGGATTTGGTCTGTTCGTGACTCGAACTTCAATCCAAACGCATTCATTTATCTCAAGGTCAAAACACCGAAAGTACGATAATGATTTCCCTACAGCCGTAAGTACGCCTCCCCCGAGGGTGGAGAGGGACCTGTCGACTCCCGATCACGTCTAAAAACCTGGTAATCGGAACTAAAGTACTCAGAACTAGATATAGAACTGGGTAGCCAAGTTTCAGTGATACATAAAATGTCAAAATTCGAGGCCAAAACCGATGTAAAAAAGATATCAGACTTCGTCCGCAAACCACGCACATTCTCATACTAAATTCGTGTGCTATTCATTGTCTTATGGCGCGTTATCTCAAGTCTCGGAAGATGCAGAATCTACGAGCGGACCTCCAAAAGGCCCAAACAAGCACTCCTCGGGCCACACGCAAGCCTCGTTGATAAGACTAAAGTTATTAACGGTAGTGCCTATATGAAACGAAGCATGCATGTCATATTTGCTATGAAGCTTCTTCCAAGTGAAAGAGCCCAGCTCCAAATTGTAAGACACAAGTATATTGCACTGATTGCAAAGTAAATTTACCTATATCAGGACGATAGCTGTAATTTTATCAAAGCCATGCCGCTTCTATCGAACAATCTTTTAGGATCCAAGAATAGGCCTAATGCATATACCTCGCTTACTTTATTCTTATATTTTACTTACTGTCGAACATACAATTTGCCAATTGTTAAGCAGGAATTTTCATAAACTTCGGCTCTCAAGGCTTCTAAGAATACAAAGAAAAACGACAAAAGAAAAACATTGATCTATGACGGTTGTGAGAGGGCGAGCTCCGCCCACAGGAGAAGGATGCACTTCACTTTTCTCGATGAATGTGCACAATAAAAAGTGCAACAAAGCTTTGGAACATGCAGTTTTTGTGTGCTTGTTTCCGTCACCACTATATAAATCTTGTGAAAAACCTTAAGGCTCATAATCAGTCTAAAACATCTGGCACCTGCAGACCCCAGAGCTTCGAAGATAATATTTTATTGGTAAGTTACTGTGCACTCTATTTCGTTCAAATTTTATGAACTAACCTGGATAGGAAAATGCTTGATTTATCGTTATTTATGCAGTGAAGGTCGGTATACACAGAACGTGTTACAAAAGTCATTGCAGGTTGTGTATGTGTGTGTGTGTGTTTTTGTTTGGTAGCATGTGATTTTAATTTATGCTCTGTTATTATTTTTTTATATGATGATGGGCACGTACTGTGTTTCTTGGTTCTTCTCACAAAACTGTTCGAACGCTAACGCCGAACGCCGTAACGCCTGCGATCGGCGTTGGTATTTGTACAGTTAGTAAAGTACACCGCAGTAAAGACAAGCCGAGCTAGCTTTGCGTCTAGCCGCAAGCGGGTGCGACAGTGAAGGTTAGGATATGTACATGGCACGGTGGTAGAATGTCGAGCTCACAATCGTAAGGTCCTGGTGCGATTCCTGCTAAAGCGCGTTTAAAATTTTGATACTTCTTTCAATTTACCACTTTTTTGTACAGTTTGTCCTTTGAGTAGGATCTTAAACACTTCGTAAATTTTTTCGTGGCTTTCCGTCACACTTTCCTTGAGGATACAAGCCATGGACATAAGAATAAGGCGGCGCGACATACCGGCTCAAGTCAGCCTAGAGAGAAAAATCCAAGTGAAGCCGAAATTAAAGGTTGCGGTCGGCGAACGCCCCCAAGGATTACCAAAACACAACCAAATGAGCTTTGGGCTCCAAGTCAGCTCTCTTTTTTGCCTTATTCGTCCAACAGCACCTTTAGGTTTTGGCGGAGCCGTATATGTAGAGAGTTTGGTCAATGGGAGGCGCGGGCAGAGCCAGGGCGTGCGGCAGACTCGGAAAGAGGGCTTGGCATGCTCTTTTGACCAACCAGAAGCCGAAAAGAATACCCTAGCGGTGGTAGCGAGAAACAGTGCGTAAGAGTGAAGTGCAGTAACTTTTCGAGGTTAAAAATAGGGTGCACGCGTTGTTTTGATCATGATCATGCAGAAAGATATAAGAAACGAATACGGCGCTCAACTCTGTTTTCCGCGGACAGAGTGCGACCGCTCAGACGGCAGATTCCGGGCCCTCGGCTCTTGGCGTACGGATTATGTAGATTGTTCCGCTAGTCGCACTCTTCCACCATCATTTTAGATGAGCGCGATTGAAACGTACGTGTACCATATTTTCAGTCACCAAGAGTTACTTTAATGCAGTTATCAGGTTTGTTTCTCGCGACCACCGCCAGGGTTTTATTTCTGGCTTCTCGTTGGTCACATTCGAATTTCTGAAGACGCCCTGGAACCCGCCCAGCCCGCTTTCGGCCAATGGCGCCTCCTGATTTGTCTCCTATACTTCCCAACGAATGGCCAAACTCGCTACATATACGGCTCTGGGTTTTGG